TTTTTTTTTTTTTTTTTTTTTTAATAAGGGGATTAACTGAGCAGGTGCACCTGATGTATCTACTTAAGCCACAGATGTAGCTTTTCAATAATAAATGTTCATGCCTATTCCCTATCTTTACCTAAATAACTATCCTATCCTACTGTTCAAGAAGTTTCCTTCTTGACCTCCTTTTTTTCTGTTTTCTTGTCAGGGGGCTGTGCCCAACTTGCGAGCTTCAGTTCAACGTGGTCACACCATGGGCCTCGCCACACCACTCTCCAAATGTGAAAAAGACAAAAATGTGGCGGGTGCATCTGGCCACGTTCTAACGGCAATTTCATTCTCACTTTGCACATTTCGAGAGTGGTGTGGCGATGCCCTATGACCGTGAGATTCTCATATCGGATGGTAGGGACCCGTGTATAGAACCAAACCTCCTCAAGTGGGGCACGGCCCCTGCGATATGCTTTCTCCCCGCCTACGCGCAGTATAGCCTGCCTAGCCAACTTTCTGGGCTACCGCGCGCGCGTTAGATTTTTGTCATTATGAAAATTGAACCCCTTCAGTACATATTCTGGTCCCGCCAACATGCGTCCCCCCCGCCTCCAGTTTCGAGTTGGAGTTCGAAGTTCGAACTTCGAATCCAAACGGGGCGGGCCTTACGATCTACTGCTGCGCGGGGCGGGTTGGACGACGGGGCTCGGTGGATGGATGTGCGCCAGTGCGAGTGCGAGTGTGCGAGTCGGGGTGTGCGAGTGGGAGTGCAAGCCCGTACTTGATGTATTCGGGGGGTGAGAGCAATGAGCGAAAAGAAAGGAAAAGAGGCACGAAGTACGTGGATGGAGCGGCGGTTCATCAGGCAAGAGTTCCTATGTGTTTCCCTCTTTGCTATCGTCTCTCTCTTTTTCCCAGTCTCTTCCCCTCTTCCTGTCATTCTTCGGTGCCCTTTCCACTGTCGTGCCCCCCCCCCCCCTCCCCATCCCTCATCCTCACCCCTCCCTTTCCCCTCTCTCTCTCACTCGTCCTTATCCTACTGTCCATATTGGTATTCTCCTAGTGTTGTTCGTACCAATGGCCGCGCTTTCTTGCTGCTATGGCTTCTTTCTTTTTTCTCTTTCGTCCTCTCTCCTACTCTTCCTCCTTGCTTTGATCCACGGTCGTGTTGATACCATGTGCCCCACTGGCCCCCATCCACCACCATCAGACCCCCCCCCCCCCCCCACACACACACACAGAGACAGAGAGAGAGAGAGAGAGAGAGAGAGAGAGAGAGAGAGAGAGAGAGAGAGAGAGAGAGAGAGAGAGAGCGGAGGAGGGTTCTGATGGATGAGGCGTATGAGATCGGCAAGAATGAGAGAGCGTAGTGACAAAAGGGAGGGGAAGTAGTAACGATGGCAGAAAGGACAAAACGCATAGTAACGGTGGCCGAAAGAAGAAACGGATAGTAACGGTGGTCGAAAGGAAGAACCAGATAGTAACTGTGGTTAAGAGGAAGAGTAAGGGGAAATGGACGGCATAAAAGACGATGATGATGACGATGGAGAAGAAGACGATCAGTGAGTGGAAAGCTAACGCGAGCTCAAGGAGGATAAGACGATGATGCAGGGCGTATCATCTATAATTCACTGCAGTCTTTTTGTTCCTCTCTCTCTCTCTCTGTCCCTTTCCTGTCCCTTTCCTCTCTCATGCAGTCTAACGTGACGGATTCCCGTGAAGAAAGCTCTGGGACTCAGAGAAGTTTCCGGGCCTAATGAAGCAAGTCTTGGGACGTTTTGGGACTCGGAAACTTTGCGGAGACGTGCTCAAGATATCCGCTGGATTCCGGGAAAGGTTGGGGGGAGGGGCTAAAAAACTGGCCAAGAGGGGTTAAAGAGGGACTAATTAATAGTATGTCTAACTGGCGCTTACAGGCAGTGATTATTAGTAATACAGTCTTCGCGTGACCGTGTAAGACGGGGAAAAAAATGGCTTGTATACATGCATCATTGGGATGCGTTGTGTTTAGGGGGAAAAGACGGTAGCCGCCGCATGGTGTGAATGATACGGAGAAGCCATGTGCTACCGATCTCTTTCCAGTCCAAACGCCATATTTAACAACCTGGAGCTATGACGAATCCCTAAAACTTGAGACAAACATTGATCCTGATTGTTTTTTCGTTTGCTCGTGCACTTCCCGACCTTATTTTCACCATCATCGTCGTCATCAACATCACGTTTATCTTACCCTCATCAATCACTCGTCATCACCATCATCATCATTAGCCCAGGTGCCACATGATGATAGAGGGTGATACGAGCTTGGATAGGTGACACGTGGAGCCTCTAAAAGGCTCAATGAATGATGATGAAGCTGATCATGCCGACGATTGATGATAATCAGCGAGAGCCTTATAGAGGACCAGGTTCCTAAACTACTGGATTGGTTAGACGGTTGATTTACTATGTACTTCAAATTTGTGCCGCTTTCACCGGATCCGATGGCTACAGTAGCGATCGGCCGGTCTTACCTGGGAAGGAACTGTAGTAGGTAGGTGTCAGGAATCTTTTGTCAACTTTTTGTCCGCCCCTCCCCCCCCCCCCCCCCCCCCCCCGGTCCCTCCCCAACCCCCCCTGTCCGTTCTCTAACGATTCGCTAGTAACACTTTCAGGCAAATAAAACACGCCACGCCTGTCTTTATCTTCACACGTACGGACAGTCACACTGAGGATGTCAATCCTCAGTCCTATTGAAACTCTTTGTAACTTATTTCGGCTCTCATGTTTTATCACTTAAGCTCACACCTATTACAGTAGTACTCGCACCAATTTTTCTATCCTCGTTAGTTTATTCATTTTTTTCCTTCTCACAAGGGCCCAGTGCCCACGGCTCACATCAGACAAAACCCTTGCAGTATCCTCACGTATAGCGAAACTCGATCCTCTTCAAACTCTCACACCTGTCTCGATCCTCATTCCTATTCAAACTCTCAGCTATCTCGATCCTCGTACCCATTCGAACTTCCAGACCCCTATTCAAACTTACAGACCCCTATTCAAACTTACAGACCCCTCCCTATTCAAACTAACGCAGCTACCTCTTCAAACTCACAGCTGTCGTGGTCCGCGTTCCCATTCAAAAACTTACACCTATCAGAAATCCTCGTTCCTATGCAAACTGTCACACCTATTCGTATTCAAACTCGCACCACCTATCTCGCTCCTCGTTCCTGTTCAAACTCACACGCCTATTCAAACTCACACGCCTATTCAAATTCGCGATATCTCGATCCTCGTTCCTATTCGAACTCGTACACCTATTCAAACGCACACCCACTAAAAGTCGAGGCGAAGAAGAAATTTCGCAAGTAAGCATCGTGGAATATGTTTGCCTCCTCCTCCCGCACCCGACCTCTCCACCCCATTCTACTCCACCCCCTACAAACGCACACACACACCCCTCACCATCATAATATATGTGGATCGCCTCGCGGAATTGGCCCCTCCGCAGTGTCATTCGCGCACTGAAGGATCGTTGGGTATCACTCGGTATTGCATGTGGCGTTGGCCTAAAGACTGCTACAACCTACTCTGTGGGGAAGATGCGTTGGAGTTGCTGTACCCGAGCAACAGATAGGCGGATCCCATGTCCTCTGCGCAGTGCGCAGAGCGTTGCCATCGCCATCATTCTGTCTCGACCGCCCATTTTTTGTAATCTCTCTCTCTCTCTCTCTCTCTCTCTCTCTCTTCTCCACCCACGGCAAAACCTATCCATGTGTATGTCCTTCCATGGACGTAACAACCGACGTATCTCTACATGCCTGTGAGTCCCTACCCTCATCCCTGAATGTGCTTCTTATCCCTAGTGTGATTCCCTGGGGTGCAACCAGCGCGACTGTGACAGATCTGGTGATGAATGTGAGGAAGGGATGTCACCTATGAACCCTCGTTGTGTGCGCCATGTCACCTATGAGGGAGGACCTCATTCGACGGGTGAACACCGTCCAAGCAGCATGGCTTCCACCCGTTTGTGAAACAAATGAAGAATTGCCCCCTGAATCACAAATTGCATACCTCTGCTGTTCAGCGCGGACCTCCTCTCATGCCTTCAGCGGCGAGTTATTCATCAACTGGCACAACCACACCTATGAGTTAGACTATGCAGTATACATACCACCAAGATCTGCTTGCATACCACCACTTGCATAACACTTGCACAACACATGGATAACGTTCGCTTTTGCTTTTTTTCCCTCTGGCTACTAAGATGTTTCAGTTCACCAGGTTCTCTCTTATCTGCCTATGAATTCAGCGGCAGTACAAGGGGTTACCCCATTCGGGAATCTCCGGATCTATGCCTGTTTTCGACTCCCCGAAACATTTCGTCGCTTACTACGCCCTTCTTCGTCTCTGCAGGCCACCACTTGCATAACATTTGCGCAACACATGGATAACGTTTTCATGTTGGTGATGTTAGTTCTTACCGAAGCAGCATCAGAGCCCTTCAGACAACCAAAACATCTCTTAATGGCAGAACGAACGGCCTTGAACCTGTTGTTGTACATCTTTTCCCTCCTCCTCCCTCGAACAGGCGTCGTCAACCATGGCAAAATCGGCTAACCGACATGCCCTATCGAGTACCCTCCCATGGGTGTCCCGTCATATAGCACATGTTGCGCCCACCGAATGAGTGCCCCCCCCCCCCCTGTTGTCGTGCACCGTTTCTTCTGTGTCCGCCTCCTCCCTGCAAGAGGTGTCATCAACTGTGGAAAAACGGGCAACGGGCATCCCCTATCAAGAGCCATCTCACCGATGTCCCGTTGGATCCCGCTTCTGCTGCATATTGTGCAGGTGAAACAATCGCAACACCCTTGCATCCTGCACAGAACGGTTGCCAACGACAACACCCACAACGTGCAGAGTCTCATCTCAAACTACCTGCGTTGCTGTGCACGGTTGTATTCTGCGTCCTCCGTTTTCGGCTTCGTCGGCTTCTCAATGTGGATGTACAGTCCATCAGTCCCATGCGACCAGGAAGGCCATGGTTTTCGCAGTAGTCCAGCGTTTGCTGCAGATGGCGACCAGAAGAGAAAGTGGTGGCGTCTCTGTACTCGTGGATGAGGGTGCCGACCAACTTACCTGTGCACGCACTGCGCTCGCCAAGCCAATACCGAAATTGTTTCTGCTATGCCTGTAGAATCCGCCCGTCGCCCAGCTGGTTAATGCAGAGGCAAAGCTCCAGATCCGCTCCCGATGTCGCCCTCCACTGTGTGTGCATGCGCTGTATGCGTGGGTGAACGCGTTGCAGAACGTACATGAACAGCGACGTCGAGAGTGGGCGGTACTCTCTGAACACTCTATGGTCCTCCTCCCCTCCCTCCAGGCGCCACCTGCACAGTCTCCCACCCAGAACCTTCGCGCCCCTGTCCTGATTGGACCAATCCCTGCCACCCCGACATGGCCTCTTTCTATCCACATGCTACATCAACTGCCTCCATCCATCCACATGCTACATCAACCGGAGGAGTAGCGATTCCGGAGCAGAGTCGTCTGTCGCACTGAAAATGGGAAAGGGCACATTCAAAGCGATAGCCAGCAGCTGCTCCCTACCTTGAAGCCACCGCACCACAGTGCGAGCGAGGAATGTCACCTGCCATGATGCCAGCCCTACGCTGTATTCTCATCCATCTCTGCCGCGGGGTTGAGTCGGCGCCGCACCTTTGCGGCGGCACATGCCGCCACTGCCCTGCTTTGTTTGCACAACACATGGCAACCAGCACTGCACAACGCCAATCGACGATGAAAGAGGTGTGAGGCAAGCACACCATGGCAGGAGGACCTTTTCCCACTGGGGAGGACGGGTCCGAATGCACACATGGCGAA